ATATGATTTTATTTCTTGCAGAGAACAGAGTCAAGGTGGCCAAGGTACCAGCTTGGTCAACCCTGAAAGACCATCCCTTCAGCAAGAAATGACCAGGTGAAAAAGTCATAAACTAAACACTCAGCATGAGCATGGAATTTAGGATGGAATTTTATATCTTACCTGCTCTACACTCAGGGCTTGAATTACAACAACAGTCAATCACATAAAAATATACTTTTGGTAGTTCTGAGTCTGTCACGGATCTGGCTCGTTTCGACCCAGTATTTTGAGTTCTGATGTTTTGGTTTATTTTTTAATCTTTGTGTTTTTCGGGTGCTGCTATTATTATTATTTTTATTATATTTCCATGTTTCTGTGTATACTGCAGTGTTAGTGCTGTGTTGAATTTGTATAAACAAACTAAAAAAGCATTTCATAATAGTCGCTTTTAAATAATTTTGTTAAAATGTTTGGGACAGGTCTTTTCCTGGTATTTTCTCAAGAGGAAAGGGAAAAAGGCGATTCCCTGCTACATCTCTGGTGCCTGCTAAGAAGCCTAAACCTCTTGAAGTGGTATTTTATTTGCTCCCAAAACAAATGGAGAAGACCCCAACAGAACATGAAAAATATATCCACACACAGGCAGGGATGGGTCAAAGAACAGCACATCTTGATGAGAGCACAACACATGAAGAGGTATAAACTTATTCTTTTTATTCACTGATCAAAACTGAGAAGTTTTCGCTTAATAAAAGTGTTATTGAAGGTGACCATCACTGCAGGTCACAGGTGGCATCTACAAAAAATAATATTATTATTGGATATTCATCATTAATCATTAAAATGTAACTGTAAATTTTGGATTGAAAAAGATTTTTTTATTATATCCAGTTTGCACTGTAAATGCATGCTTCTTTTACCGTTTCTTAGTATATACAGGGGTATAATTAATGTTAAATGTGTAATTTCTTTTGACTCAGAGATTGTATTTGTATTATTGCTTTCAGTTAAGGGACGCCCTGAATGATTTGTTTCCCAAACTGAAGGAGGTAACAGGTGGCTGGCTGCTGTTCAAACCTGGGGGTGTGTATGAATTCTGCACTGTGTATAATTAAACTAGAAACTGATCCTGCTGTTTAATAAGTACTTTTAAGACAAGTTCCTTTTCCCCGCATGTTGTGAATTCCTAATTCTGAGTAGTTTTGAAGATACTTTTCTTTTTTACTTTTCTTGAGGCATTGGATATATTTCATGATCAGAATAATCTGCTGCAATTTGCTTTTA